GCCACCCCAGCCGTTTCGGGTGTCTGCGCCCGCTTCGATCCAGCGTCTCCCGAGCCGCCTCCGCTTCCCGCAGCTCCTCCAGGCCCCGGAACCAGCCCCAGCGGCCCCCCGGACCAGGGTCCAGGCTGCTGACACCCACGCGAGGCCCCAAGGCCCAATCTTCCAAGGATAGGATGGACCCCGGACGCACTGGGAGGGCGGGGGAGCTTGACTCGGGGTCAAAGAACTCCTGGTCCTCTGCGGCAGGACTCCCAGGTGGCTTGGGCTTGGGCTTCAGTGTCAGAACCCTAGGGAGTCACCCCCAACTTCGTCCCGACCGGGGCCGCCCACTAGGCCTAAGGCAGCCAATCCCCGAGAAGGTGGGCGGCGGGGGCGTGGCCTCAAGCATCTGGACCTCTTGCTAGGGCCCACCACCAACGTGAGCGCCAAGGAGAAATGAGGGTCTCTTTGCCACACAGCTAAATATTTAAAAGTATTAAGAAGTAAGCTATTAAGGTGTGTTCTAGCATCTTGACTTGCCTGCCGGTGAAACGAAAAAAGCTGTGGTTTTTATGTAAGCAAATGTCAGCAAAATGCCAAAGGTGATAATTTAATCAGAGTTGCAGTCTCACTTCTGGTGGTGAGCTGCTGGTGCCTGTACGCACCATTTAAACACAAAAAAGAAGTCAGTTTATGGGTTTCAAAAATGTTATCATTACTTTAGCAGTTAAACAGTACTGTTACGAGGAAGATTATGCTAATGTCAAATGGACTGTCTTCCCTGCCTTAGAGCTCATTCACTTCAATTAGAAGAAACTTCCCTGCTGAATGGCTTTTAAACATTAAAGCCATTCATACCCGAATCTAGACATTGCCCCAAATATAACATCCAACACTATAGTGCGCTTAGACAAATTATCACAGAAACTCGCCGTATGCGTTAGTTTCACTGTTCTCTGTAGGATTCCTTACAAGACTAACTCCTCCCATTTTCATCCGTAAAATGTACCGCCAGCAGCTGCCACCTCTCAGCTGTTAGGCTTCTCTCTCTCCTGTCTTACAGGGCTCACTAGGCTACTCAGGCCGACCTGGAATTCCTGGGCTCAGTCACCCTTCCCGGCCTCCCAGCTAGCTAGGACGACAGGCCCACGCCTCAAGCCTAGCTATTCAGTACCACTGTTGTAAAAATCAAGCTAATTCTTTGTTTGAGACAGAGTTTTACTCTGTAGCCCACACTGGCCTTGAACTCACTGCAATCCTCCTGCCTCAGCATCTGGCCTGCTGGGGTTACAATTTAAGATAACATGCCTGGCTAACTAATTTTTGACAACAGTTGAAATAAAAAAAATTGTAATTACTAAAATAAAAATAATTCATGTATCTCTGCCTGGAAATGGTGCCATCTAATTAGGAATCATGGCATTTATGCTAAGGACTTTACAAATTGACCCTGTAACTTAATCCAATGCTCTGAACTAGAGTCAGTCTCAATTGCAAGCATTGTCACCAGCCTTAATGGCATTCAAACTGTAACCTCATTTTTGGGGTACTGTAATGACATATTTCTAGGGAACCTGAATGGCATCCTTGATAAGGATGCTGAGGGCTACACATCCCACTGAGAGAAGATCCTAAATGACACAGGGCCAGGGTTTCTTTAAGAAATTAATGTATATTCACATTTTGGTGGACAAGCCATCAGGAGGTCTTCAGGACGGTACTGCCCACTGTGACCACATGAGACCCCTGACCTCACAGCATCTGCTGTGGCCCTTGCTGCTGGCCTCTCCAAGTGCTTTCCACTTACAGGCTGCCTGGGCTTTGGGGCTTTGGGGCCCACGGAGCATCCACCCCAAGTGTTGCTTTCATTGGTTAATTAATAAAGAAACTGCTTGACCTGATAGGTCAGAACATGGGTGGAGTAGACGGAAAAGAATGTTGGGAAGAAGGGAAGTGAGTTAGACGCTATAGCTCTCCTCTCCAAGATGGACACAGGTTAAGATCCTTCCTGGTAAGCCACCACCTCGTGGTGCTACACAGTTTACTAAATATGGGTTAAAGCAAGATGTGAGAATTAGCCAATAAAAGGCTGAAACTAATGGGCCAGGCAGTGTTTAAAAGAATATAGTTTCTGTGTAATTATTTCAGGTAAAGCTAACCAGGCAGCTGTGATCTGGGTAGTGGGAACGCAGCCCACCACTCCTTCTACTACAGAGTGGCACCCACATTGGGCGCCACTCTGTAAAAGGAAGGAGTGGTGGGCTGTGTTCCTGCCCAGATCCCGGCTAGCTTACCCCCGAAATAATTACACGGAAACTGTATTCATTTAAACACTGCCTGGCCCATTATCTGTAGCCTCTTATTGGCTAACTCTTACATATTGATTCAACCCATTTCTAATAATCTGAATGTCACCACAAGGTCGTGGATTACCGGGAAAGATTCAGCATGTCTGACCTGGCAGCTTCATGGTGGCGGCTCTCTGCCTCTCCCCGACTCTGCTTCTTTCTCCCAGAATTCTGTTCTGTCTACCCCACCTATCTTAACTGCTGTCTTATCAAAGGCCAAGGCAGTCTCTTTATTAACCAATGAAATTAACACATAGACAGATGACCCTCCTCCATCACCCAAGTCCCTGCACAACCTAGGCAACAGGGAGGAGAGACAGCTGCTCCTCTCCCAGCTGGGAAGGAGACAGAGCAAGTCTTCTGTGCATTTACAGCTGGGGAAAGGGGGGCTCTAAGGACTTTGAAGATATTTGTGACACCATGGGCATTGTTAACAAGTTGGGTTTGGGGCCTTGCAACTGATGGGGAATCAGAAAAGATGAGATAATTTCTGTGGGGCTAGTTCCATCTCCAGGGCCCACCACAGCGGGTTAACAACTTCAGGACAGTTGTCCAGCTCCCCAGCATGGACAGAAGAAGGTATCTAGACAGAGGGCCAAGTCCATAGTGTAACATACTTCACACATATGCAATGTGGGATTTAGTCAGATATAAAATAATTCAGCTACTTTTTGAATTATAAATGGATACTTGAAAGCATTTGCTCAGTGGTAAGTGATATGAAAAGGATTCAAAAGAGATGGCTGGGGCACAGCAGTAGGGAGCTTGCTCCCCATGCCTGACACGGAGGTCCAATCCTCAATACTGCCCAAAGCAGAGGGATTCAAAGGTGGCTCCCAAACCCCAAGAGAATGTTGATGCAGCTATGGCTGGCAAGGGCACACCCAGGCACATCTCACCTAGCAGGTGGGGATGGATGGTTGACTGCTACCTTTGATGCTGAGCATAGGTCACGGTAGATTTCAATCTGCTGCATGGAAAGGGGAGGAAAATCTGGGCTACTAATGCCCTCACTATCTCCCACTCAACCATGTGGGACCCGATGCACTCTCCGGCAAAACTAACTCTTCAGGGCACTTGCCTAGGCTTTACCCAAGTATGTCCTTCAGCAGCTGAGGGGGTAGAAGAGAAGAACAGCTACAACAGGAGGAAACAGCTCGCCTCTCTTACAACCCCTAAGCTACGCTGACAGCCAGTATTCTATAGTGCTGCGTCTCTCGTTAGAGAAATGAAACTGCAAGTGTGTGTCCCCCCACACACGGCTGCGGTATCTTTATTGCAAACAATAGAAAACCCTGACCCAATTTGCCTTAGAGGAACAAATTTACTGGCTCGTGTGGGGGTTTCCAGAATGAAGCTATACCAGAGCTTCAACCTTGTGGCCAACACCCAGCTTTCCACTCCACCCTCGCCTCTGCCATCTGGGTGCTTAGTGGCTCTATTCCATAGAACCTACATCATCAGCACGGACAAATTCCCCAAAGATGCACAGACAGACTCCTCCTTTTAGTTAGCCTTTCACAATCTATCTATTTTAGCACCTCCTGGCACCCATAGATACCCGAAGCTCACACAGGATCACACACAAGAGGTGGTTCTGGGAAAGCGATGTAGGAGACCATGGCCGAAACCTCAGGCAATGGCTATCAACACCCACTTCTTTCATGAGACAATGTCAGCACTGCTCTACTTAAGGTGGTAATGGCTGTTACAACTGGAAGACAGCATTCTACAGACGTACCTTAAGAAAATGTAATTGATTTTGGATACTATTAAAATGATTCTTTGCTAGAGTTAACAATAGAAACTGTGTCTTTGTTTATCTTTTTTATAAATCTACAGTCAGCTTCTCAAACATCTTGAATTTCAAGGAGAGTAGAAGAATGAATAACCCTTTTACTATCGGCTGAGGGTAAAATTGAGGGAGCTGCTCTTACTTAGAAGGTAAGTGAGCTCAAGGTCCAGAGTGGAACTATGTGGCAGATCTTTTCTTTTCCTTCTCACAGGTGGTAGTAATTAGCTTGCCTCTGAGGAAGGGAGTATGCGGGCCCCATGGGAGTTTCTCTAGCTCAGTGGGTGTAGTGGTTTGAAAGAAAATGGCCCCCATAGGGAGTGGCACTATTAGGAGGTGTGGTTTTCTTAGAAGTATGTCACGGTGGGGATGGGCTTTGTAGTCTCGTTTGCTCAAGGTGAGCTCAGTGTGACATAGTTCACTTCCTGCTGCCTGAGGATCTGGATGAGGATCAGCTGATGAGGATCAGCTCCTT